GTAAGCTTCCTGCTTTATCCATCAGCCTCAAACTACACAGCTGGGTCACCATTCACCGACAGGGAAATTGCGTTGCTTGGTGGCTGACTGGTGAGTTGCATAGATAGTCAGTGACAGAACTGGGACAAGAACCCAAGTCTCTTGACTCACAGTCTTTGCCCTCGCCCCACTGGGCTGCCTCCCAAAGCCTCTAGAAAGGAGGGTGGGTTGCTATATGCCATACCCTCCTCCTGCCTCAGCAGAAAGAATCTTTTTCCTTACACTCCAGTTGGTTTGACTGTTGGTACATTAACCACATCTCTGCATTAACCATCTCAAGGCAAGGCTAAACTGAAGTTGAGTCTGCTGCCATTTTAGGAAAGGAGACTTGGGGCAAAGTCAAGAGACATTATCTCTGCCTTCAGGACTTCCAGCCTAGTTCTATATTGGATGTGAGCAGCATCAGCAACCTGACTGAGAAGGGTAGGGAAAAGGATGAGGTTTTGTGCAGTAAAATTATGCAGCATTCAGCTCAGAAACACAATTGTTCTGAAACGTCTGCATAATATAAATGTTGACTGGATGAGGTGTTTGGAAGAAACACGTCTTGCAGAGAGCAGTGACTAAAGAAATCTTCCTGCCACACCCTCCCCCCACCCCTTGGCTTGCTTACAGACATACTAGTGGTTTGATAGTACTCCACTTCTAAGAATTTTTGAGTCATTGCCACCCGTTGATGGTTGGATTTGACTGTAAAGAGTCCGCTGTGACCTACCACCAGAGGACCAGTACAGTGGCCAATGAAAGAAACCCACTGGTATCAGCTGCCTTTGACTGCTTTGACCCACCAGCTGGTAATTTCAAATAATGTCATTTCTTCCCTCCTTGCTCTTTCAAACTAGGCTGCTCTCTCAACCATCCAAGAGGGGGTGGAAGGGATAAAGAATGGAAACAGTCAGCTTAGCCAAAGCCCTCTGTCTAAGTACATCATGAGACTTGTGTGCTGGAGTCCAGTGTCCTTGGCTAAGAAAGCCTATATTCTGGGAAAACACAGTCAGCTTGCCTCAAACTTTTTTAAATGTTGCCAGTCACTGTGCTGATAGAGTTTTGAAATAGGAGTGCTGCCAAGCCATTGACTATCTTGTAGCAACATGAACTGCACCGTTAGGGCAAGTTGCCAAAAACTTTAGCATACAGTGGAATGTAGCCTTGGAGAGAGTTTGATAAATGGTTTGGCTAAATCCAAATCCTGTCTTCAATGAAAGTCAGTTCCTGCTCAAAAAAAAAGATTCCATCTTAAATAAGCTAGTATCAAATTAGTTCATAAACCAGTTCATCCTGCATTGGTACTGAGCAGTAATATTTCCATAGGCTTACACGTGATTATATTCCAAAAATCTAGTTTATGAAAACTGAAAATGTGGCTGTTTTCTTGCCAAGTCTGGGTGCTGATTTATTTTTCCATGTTTCTAAGATTGTCCTTTTGCATTTCGAAGCAACCTTGCTTTGTAGAACTAGCCTTGCTCGTTCTACTATCCCAAAGATCAAACGATGTCTAGTACTGGAGGTGGGGGTGGCTGATGGATAGGTGGAAAATGTAAGCAGAACTTTGAAGGCCTGTTCCCAATGTTAGTGAAGCTGTATCACAAAAATGAGTTCCAAATCATCAGTTTTAATTTATTCAGTGTAATTTGTTCTTGGTCTTCTTGCTGTATGCAAATTTGGTTAGGGAGCAGAGTTTCATCTACTAGAAGCTAGTCTTGAATGTACCTTTGATCAGCAGTATACAAGCTGCTGAAGCTGACATGGGTTGCACCTCATTAAGCCAGGACTAAATTTAGCCCTAGTTGGTAACTAGGCCTTGTAATGGCAAGAGCTGTTTTCAGACTTGAAGTCCCACGAATGAGGTGTTGAATGCTCAGTATGTGATCCCAAGTTTTCTTGTAGCTCCACATCTGTTTCATGCTTTACAAACCTTTACGCCAGTGGTTCTCAACCCACGGGTTGCATATGGCTCAATCAACACATTGCTGTGCCCCATGTGACATCCCATTAAATGGATACACAGGAAGTAAGTTGTGTAGGTGCAGCCCACATAACACACTGAAAGCTGCAAGTGTGGCCCACTGTGGCAAATAGGTTGAGATCCACTGCTTTATGCATTTGGTGCTGATTCTATATAGGGAACCCTCTGTATCGGAACTCTTCTGATCCAAAACCTCTCTAGCCAGAGAGAGAAATCTGACAATACAAGCAGAACATCTGGACACTTCTGCTTGAAACAGCATTCTTTGGAGCACTGAAACAGAAAGTGCTTTGGTTACTTTTATCACATCTACAAATTCTGGTACAAATCTTGCCAGTATGAAAGAATTCAATCCTTATCAGTGCAAATAAACAGACTTGTGCAGTATGCACTGCAGTTCTTTACAGGCTCATTCAGTCCTTGGAAAAAGTCTGGACTTCCATCTGTGGCCTTAGGTCCCAATCCAGACTAGGTGACTGCCCCTGGCAATCCCATTATACAAAAGCAATACACAAGAGTAGAGACATTCAACTGAAGTGAAAGGAGGTACATCCAAATCTTGAAAGGGAGGTACTTATTCACAGACCATGCAATTACATTTTGGAGCTTACTGCCACAGGAAGTTGTTGAGGTCAAGAATATAGTAAGATTCCAAAGAAAGAACTGGATGTCCATATCATTCTTTTTTTATTGCATTATTCATATTCTTGGTGGCATTTTGGAAGGGACATTTTGCCTCTTGCCTTAGGGCTTATGCCAGTCGCTGACAATTAGGTCAGGATGAGACCTGGTGTGATGACCCAACTGGCCTGCATCTGCCACTGCAGTGTTTGTACATCTTTCAGTGAAGCACCTGCAGTTGGCTTGTGCCAGATGGGAATAGCCCCATCTCAGGGCTGTCCAACTGGCAGCCCATGGGCTACATGTGGCCTTTAGGGGCTTAAGTTGTGGCCCTTGAGCTCCTGCCCAGCCACTGCTTCCCTCATTGCTATGGCTGCAACAGTGCTGGAGTCTCTGGGCTCCCCCTTCCTCTTCTAGTTCTCATTGCTTACCCCAGCCCCATATGGCAATGAAGTATGGCATGGCCTGAGTTGCTGAGGATGAGCTCGAGGCCATGCATACAGCAGTGTGATGGGTGTAGGATGCACATGTGGTGCAGCAGAGAGTGTATAGCACAATACCAAGGGGAGGGCACATGGTGCTCAGTAAGTGAGGAGGATGGCCTGTGCAGGTGTGCAGTGCATTAGTGGGAAGGAGCTCAAGGGAGAATGGCAGCAGGTGGGAGAGCTCCTGCATGGTACAGTGAGGAAAGATGAATTCCAGGAGGCCCACGGCTTGTCCTGGTGCAGCGTTAGGCCCCTGTTCACTTAAAGTTAGAAGGAAGGATTCGTTCCTTCTGAGCAGCAATTCACTTCAGTCAGAGTAGAGGAGAAGCAGGTCTGGACTCGCTAGCTGTGCAGGCCTCCAGAGCCAAGTATGACTGAGGGATAAATGGTGAGCTTGTGACCCTTACACAAGCCCCAGTGAATAATCCAGTCTCTGCTAAAGGGCAGAGGTTATCATGGTAAACAGTCTCATTTGTATAATCCTTGTCAGTGCTGGGGAAGGCGATTGCATCTTTTCTTGCATGTGCAATTTTACCTTGAGGCTCTTATGTCCAACTGGCAAGTAGGCCCAAGCAATGGCTAGTAGAGAAATAGGAGAGGTCATAGAGGGCTGGGGGGTACCTGTGGTACCAGGGAGAGCAGGCAAACAACTTCTGAGTGCTTCTCACCACTAATACATCATAACCGTGTTCCTGTATCCCTCTGCCATCACCTTCTTTCCAAAGCCACTCGTGATGATTTCCTTTGTTTCACAAGGAGTCTCCCAATAGCACTGGGATGTGGCTTCAGAGTCATCCCCGCGCCCCACCACCCCCAACGCACACACAGACCTAGGGCAGAATCCGTATGTCCTCACCTCTCCTACTCCCAGCTGAGCACGTTCATGTGCGCGTAGGCATTTTGTGGAACATGCTCCCCAATATTCTTCTTCAGAGTCATGAGCATCCATGTGGCTTCTTTCTCTTCCCTTCCTCCAGGATATCAATGCATACAATGGCAATGAGCCCACAGAGAAGCTGCCTTTTCCAATCATTGCTGATGCAAATCGGGAGCTCTCAGTCCAGCTGGGCATGTTGGACCCAGATGAGCGGGACAAGGATGGCATGCCTCTGACAGCACGTGTTGTGAGTATCAACTGCATCCTTGGCCCCATGCTCCAGCAGGCTACAGTCTCCTCTTAGCACTTCTCCCAGCATAGGACACTGCACCAGTGGAAGCCCTAGTGTAGGCCAGGTGTGAATGCACTACTCTGAATAGAGATAGACAATCAGGACAATCTGTGGATTGCTTGCAATGATTGAACATGAAATACAGACACAGTCCTTGGAGCAGGGGTGGAAAGACCTGGGTTCCCCCCTTCTAGGCAAGTGCCTTAACCATGCTCAGGCTGGTGCTTGTGTAATTTTTCTCTGGAATAGAATTAAATTAATTCCAGAAAGATATGAGATGCTTTACAAATGTAAATTGTGACTTTTCTTTTGCATGTGGGTACACATTTTTGTCCAAAATTGATGATCATGCCACTTATAATAAAAAATGGCACCATACCTGTAGATGGCACTTGCTGTCTGTACCCAATCCTTCAGTCTAAAATGGATGAGATGCAGGACAGCTTTTCTGGACAGGCAGAGCCATGGGGCCTATTAGTGGTAAGAACAGAGGAGGGCTTCCTTAGACGAAGGTACTGGGGTGCATGTAAATCCAGGTCAGCACTTGAATTCACATTTCCTGAGCATCCTTCTTGCATCTCTTTGCTGTACAGGTGTTTATATTTGGCCCAGATAAGAAACTGAAGCTGTCCATCCTCTACCCAGCAACCACAGGCAGGAACTTTGATGAGATCCTCCGAGTAGTGGATTCTCTACAGCTGACAGCGTACAAGAAGGTTGCTACCCCGGTGGACTGGAAGGTATGTGGCTGTATAGAAATCTGTGACCAAGTGAGGCTCGGTGCATAGTGAATACACAGAGATATAGTTCTAAGAGGGCCTTTGCACCGTGGGCAAACTGCAAATGGAGGAGCTGAGAAGGGTGCTTATTAGGCCTGTACGAAGCAGCTAACATTCGCTTTGGATTCAGCCGATAGTGATTCAGTTCAGTGATTCGAATCACTGTCCTGAATCAGATTCAGTCGAATCGAATCGGAGATGAGGCAGCAGCTGAATCTCTGAATCAGCCAAGCCAGGCTCACCCCCCACCCCTCTCCCAGCCTGGCAAGGGCTGCCCCACCTGCCTCGGCTCCCAACAGTTGGGGGAAAAAAAGCCCTGGCTCGGCAGGTGCTCCCGGGCAGTGGGGAGCGATCTCCACTGCCCCACGCTGTGACCCCCACCCCCGCTTCCCCAGCTCCCCCCTGTGGGGGCCCCTCACAGGCCAGCTCCGGCCCTTCAAGAAAAAAAAAACCTGAAAAAACCCCAGGACTCACTGCTCTTGTCAGTGGGGGTAATCCCTGTGCCACATGGGGGATTCTGCCCAAGACCCTGAAGCCTCAAGGCTGCACCAGGAGTGGAGAGTCCTGGGGCTTTTCTTGGCTTTTTTTTTTTTCCTCCTTAAAAGGCCAGAGCCCTGGCAGGCAGGGCACCTGTAGGGGGGCTCATGCAGAGTCCCTCATGCAGTGGGGGGCAGTGAAAATTGCCCCTCTGCCTGGCAGTACCCAGTGATCACCAGGGCTTTTTTTTAAAGTACTGGGAGCTGG